AAAAATCGACGGAAGACACGAAATTGGCCTTCTTTGGCGACGTGAAGACACCGTACTTCTTGAGTGCTACACAAACGCGCTTAAGCGACTCAATTGCTTGGAAGCTAAAATTGAAAGAGAGCCGGATCTACAAGGAAAAATTCAGGACCAAATTGACAATCTACTAAATAAAGGCTACGCCTTCGAGGTGTCGGAAAATGAGGATGTTTACCACAACCATACCTGGTACCTTCCAATTTTCATAGCTCATAACCCAAACAAACCAAACAAGATTCGACGTGTTTGGGATGCCGCAGCTTAATCTCATGGCGCTTCCTTAAACGACTTCTTGCTTACTGGTCCGGATCTTCTACATCCACTGTCTGAAGTTTTCAAGCGAACAAGCGAACGCAAAGCCCAAAGGTGTACGTAATGAAAGCAATGACTTTTGGAATATCTTGCGCTCTTTCTATATCACATTAGGTTCGGGATCAAAATGCGGAGGACTACAAGATTCAGTACCCAAGAGCCTTCAAAGCCATCACCCAAGCTCATTATGTCTACGATTAAATATACAGCCTGAACGACGAGGAGGAAGACATCCGAAACTCACCCGAAGTCCTAAATACATTAAATGGAGAGTAAGCCACAACATAGCCCACAAAGGATTTAGGGGACGCTGAAAAGGTCTTGGGTATGTTTTGGGATCCAACAAGCGATACATTTAAATACGTTTTCAGATTCGCAAAACTAAGGAGAAACGTACTCAGTAAAATAGAAGCTCTACGGAATACGGATATGCGGCTGCTTGCTACCTGCGAATTTTTAAAGGATCTGACATCACGACCAATCTGGTCATCGCTAAGAGTAAAGCCGCTCCCTTGAAACCGGTTTCGATACCACGAATGGAACTGTTAGCTGCCGTCGTTGGCGTCCGCCTGGCTTATAAAACACAACTCATTCGAAACTGGAACATTGGCGAATTCACTTTTTGGACAGACTCCAAGACCGTCTTGTCATGGCTGGCAATGGATCATCGGAAGTTCCGCGCTTTTGTATAGCATCGAACTGGTGAGATTATGGAAACGTTGCGGATATGGCTTCGAAAATAATAGCCAAACATAACCTGAAGCAGTGGACCAGTGGACCATCGTTCCTGAAAACACCCAAAGACCAAATTATCAACCGAGTCTTCCTCTGGAAAACGATAATACCGAACTCAAAAGGATAGTTTTAGCTACCAGAGTATACAGTCCAGTGCATCTAAAACTATATATTGAAATCATCCTGAAACCCTTGTCCGATGAAATAGTAATGCAAGGAAAGAACCTGCTATACAAAGTAGCGCAAAGAAATGCTTTCAAAGACGACTTAGGTTCTCTTCTATCGCATAATTCGCACCTTTGTACTCTCCAACTAGCATGCACTTGGATGCGATGGGGTCTGTCCACCTTCCCTCTCATATTTTCCGTGAAACGGCTAGCTTCCAATTGTCTGTTGCAATCAGCACCATTGGTTCAGCATAAGTGTAGCATGTAATCGGTAATCGTTGCAGATGAGTGATTTACTGGTTAAATTCTTTATGTTTAGCGTTTGCCTTGGTAATCCCAAATTCTTAACTGTCTGTATGTTGTTTAGCCAGTAGGTTCTGTTGTTGTCTATGCTGGAGACCCTTATGTTGAAGCTAACGGATTTGTTTTCCCTCCGTGTCGTTTGATTTATCCACTGCATGCAGATCGGATCCGGACTACCTTGGATGTTTAACCTTTTGAAAAAATTTTCGTCTATGAGTGTAACCGACGAACCGTTGTCCAAAAAATTTTTGTCTTTCGGATGGATTAGTTCGGTGTGAAGAGACGATGTTAGGATTTTCATAACCTTTGTGTAGCAGAGGATGGTGTCTTGATTCGCATCCCCCGATCTCGCACAGCTTAGTTGAGAACCATCTGTGGCCATGGATCTTTGAGCATTTAAAGCAAAGCCTGTATTCGCGAACAATTTCCAGTTTCTTCTCGTAATGTAGCTTTTGGAACACCTTGCATTCAGTGATAGGATGGAGTGCACTGTTGCAGACGGTGCAATGGGTAACTTCCCTTTGCGAAGCGTTGTGTGTACGTTGATGGATAGTATTCCGATCTTGATCGATGCAGCGCTGGGGTCTTTTGGGTGCATAGCTTAAGTCAGTTTGTAATGGCTGGGCAACTTTTCTACCAACTCTCTTAACAGCAAGGGGTTGCTTAGGTGGTCATTTACTTTGCATGCCTCCATGGTACCGCCAGGGTGTAGTCGATAAGAGTGTCAAGTCGTTTCTTGTTTATAGAGGTTTTTCTCGTCTTTTCAATTAATCTATTTAGTATCTGGTCGAGACGTCCGAAGAACGTCTTCAGCATGTTTATGACGTCGAGGACCATGACTGGAATCAAAAGCTTATCTCTCACAAGTTCGAGTGCCTTTTCTTTAAGGAAACTTTGGAGTCGTAGCATATTCTCGACATTGCAAACCCTACTTGGGCAGCGCCATCTGAGTCGGCGTTGGTAAGCGTGGTTGGATCAGGTGGCTGTTTACTGTACGAGATGCACTCCTATCCTTTGACGTTTTGGGTGTTCTCGTCACGAACGCAGCCAAAATGGTACTACGTTATGCAAATTTCACAATGCACCCATATTATGTCTTTGCCGTTGTTGCTCTTCTTGCATACACTGCATACGGTTAGGTGATGCGAATCAAGACACCATCATCTTCCACACAAAGGTCGTGCAAATCTTAACATCATTTCTAAAGGAGAACAATTTATTCGCATCGTACCGATAAAAATATATACTGCCAACGGTTCAAGCCTTAATTATGAATAACACGTAAAGTCCAAAGTCCTTATCGATAATGAGTAGCCGATCTTAATTCTTGGGCGCAACAAATGAAATAAATTTGACAAAATACTTAAGAGCATTGTACCGTTATATTATATCCATCCATTCGCCATAATCGATCATTTAAATAAACAAAATTCTTACATTTGAAGGACTTAACGCGCACATGTAAAAAAGTGGCGTGAAAGACAAAATTCGTGAGGTTGTGAGGCAAGCTAAGAATGGTGAACGTCCAAAAACATACAGTTCTGCGGTATAGCTGAAAAGAACAGAAGTTCGGCAGGAACAAAGAGCCAAAAACGGCCGCAGTAGCAGTAGGCGGAAAGAGCATATGCCACAAGAAAAGTGGTTAAGATTCTGTAAAACGGTAAATCTCTTCGAGTCTTATTTTTTTATGTAAGCTGAAAAATTTTGAATATGTGACGAAATAGTGGTTTATTGATGTTGTCTGAGAAATATTAATTATATTTAAGCTAAGTAATATAATTTTATTTAGGAATAAGAAAATTAAAGTAAAATTAAAGATAGTAAAGAAAACTCAATTTTGAGTTTGAATCGTTGAATCGTGACGGATTGCAATGCACGATGAAAAGGGATTTTTTTTCTTAGAGAAGAACAGTGGGCACCATAGAATGCCCGTCAGTAAGGGTATTCCTAAGCGGATAAGACCCAAGACCTTGTAGCAAAATTGTACTTTACTCCGAAACTCAAGGAAAACGTTGTAAGAATTGTGGAACTAAGAACGGCGTCAGGTTCACTATTTTTTATTATTGGACAGCAGATTTCATAATTGTATCCATATTGTAAAAGACGAGTTTCTAAGTACAAACTTAGGCAGCGAATTTCGGCAATGCTTATCCCTCAGATCGAGGCACCGCTTTTACCTTTATAGCCTTTGAGGATTGTTAGGAGCATCCAACTCTTGCTTCAGGAGTTGAAAGCTCGAAGGAACCGATATTTACAATCGAGAGCAAACCCAAGTCGAGCAGAAACCGTCACTTGGCCGTAAGAAGTTAAAATATCAAGACGTAACACTTAAGACCATTGTCCCAATCAATTATACCTATCCATTCGCCATAATAAAACATTTAAATAAACAAATTTCCTACATGTATGCACATTACTTCTCCTGAATTATTCAATACTTCCAAAATATATACAAGTTAAACATTTAACTCTGTCGGCGATGATGACCCGAGCCTCTGCCAGCGCAACCACGCATCTTTAAGTACTTTTATATTACTTAAAGATAATAAAAGATCACGGTTGGAAGCACGGAAGAATATCAAGAAGCTCTATTGTAAAAATAAGATCGTATTATTTCACGTTTATCTAAAGAAAAAACAAGAATGAAACTATAATGTTGTTGATGTATAATGTAATGGAGTTAAAGAAAAGAAGATATTTAAGAAGTTTTTATGATCAAGTTTTGTGACTCGGAAGGAAGAAGAAAAAATACCAATTTTTAACGATATTAATTAATTCATTTTAATATCATTAAATACGTGCTGCATTACATAGAATGATTTATTCCTAGAACACTAAAAATTTCTATAATATTTTTTTACGGAGACGAGTTTAAAATGGTAATTTCTCCTTCGAAACTTATTGTGCACATGCGATTCTAGTGTTATAAGAGCAATAAATATCCTTTTCTTTATTTCACTGGGTTCGATAGGGGCTTGTTCGTTTACTTCTTTTAATAACTTCCTTAAAGTATCTATTCAAGTTGGTATGGTAGTGACCATTACCGTTATGATCAAAGCAAAACCATTCGCGCACATTTATATTATTTTTGCGACATACTCGCTTATGAGCGCTAGGCGGCTTCCATTTCGAACTGTTGCAGATCTCTCAATGTGATGGCGAAGCAGCATGAAAATTCCGCGGCTAATGAATTAGAAAGGGCGGGTACTACCAGACCTTTCCTTCCGGAAAAAGAACAAGTAGGATATCCCCTTAGCAACTGGTTGGCTAAAAAATGGGAATGCTTCGACCTGGTAGCACTTAGGAAATGGAGAAATCTCCAGAACTGGAGGTTCTGTCTCATCCGCTGTACGAAAAGATCCATGTCCTTTCAATTAAGGGAGATAAGCATTTATAAGCATTTTTAAACAAAAAATAAATAGAGAAAAATTTTAGTAATTGACAAACCTTGTCCTTGGAGGAATTTATTTCAATATTTTCACTTTTTACAGAAACTTTTCCATTTTCAGATACTAATTTTCCTTCATCACGGGATTCTTCAATAGTTTCCTAAATAAAAAAATTAGAAAAAATTGTGAATTACACTATCAATTAGATTTGATCAACGGAATTAATTCAAGGGTTTATACAGTATTCAGTTCAGTATCAGTAAATGTAATTAAATAACATCAGAACATGTATTCAATAAATTATTGCATGGTCGAAAGCGGAGCCGAAGCTGATATACAATTGCAGTTAAAACCGGATATATATCGCAAGCATCAGATATAGTTGGCCGATCCTTATGAGAATATCGTTATAAAACCAATTAATTACAATAAAATATCTAAAATTTCTAAAATACCAGAGTTGGTATTTCTACCGAATACCATTTCCGATCGTTCAGTGATATGGAAGCGGCCAATCCTTATGAAATTTGGTACGTTGGATCAACTGACCAAAAACAGAATCTGTACTAAGTTTAAACTTTCTATTTGTTTAGGTGAGGGGCCGTTGAAGAGCTGAAGAGCGCATCCGCGCTGAAGAGCGCACCCGCGCTGAAGAGCGCATCCACACTCGCCCCTCTGTGCCCTCTCTCTAGCTCGTTGGTTGTCGTCGATCGTCTCTTTTTGTACTAGTTTTTAAGTTGGCGATTCGATGTAAGCAGCCCAATAAAGCTGACCGCGTTATATTCACTGGAAGACGCCCCCGACTATTATTCAACATTTCTACACCTGGAATCTTTTGCGGCAACCACGCCCCCCTACAAACATTGGTCCTTCGAGACGGATAATTACTGGATTTTCTTCTGCCAGCAGTTCTCGGCATTGTTCCGCCAAAAGATAAGTACATTTTTCCGTCCCCATCTCTCTGCCGGTCTTCAGCAGTGATCCGAACATTAAATTTCGTTCACACTGCTGCAAGATTGTTTTTCCCTCCGTGTCAACTCCAAGTCCGAGTTTTCCGACACAACGGCAGGTTGAGATTTTCTAATAATCTATAATCATCTTAAAATTCGGCAAATTTTTCTATCCGTCTCCGTTTTGTGTGCTGCCCATATTCATCGCCGTTTTCGGCCTCTCCGTTATTCATTCGCTTGCCAACGGTCGAGGCATATGTGCATCCGCATACATACATACGCACATACATATTTTTTTGGTGCAATTAATCCGCGAAAAATTCGCAAGTGAACAGTGAAATTGTGTGGTGACAAAAAGAAGGCATAATTAATATTGGCCACCGGTGTGAATTAGATCCGGAATTTCCAAATTCACCGAACAGTCCGCCGCTGTCGTAATATTTGTTTTTATCTTCCTCAATCAGTGTCATTTTTTTACACCACATAACTTTTCTGTTCCCCCAATTATACAGTCCACTTATCAAAGCTCCACTGTGCCAACATATGCCCACATGCCCTTACATATATCCGTACCTGCATGCATGTCCATATATTTTCTGCCTTCAATTCCAGGAAATATATAACCGATAAAATTTAACATATACAGTCCACTTATCGAAGCTCTACTGTACCATAATATGCCCCACATGCCCTTGCCCTACTTGCATGCATGTCCATATATTTCCAAATATTTTCTGCCTCCAATTTCAGGAAATATAAAGCCGATAAAATTTAAAAAAAAATTTACATTTTCTAAAACCAACAATTATAAACCGCCATTTCACTACAAATCCGTGATTGTGTCGCTTAAGGATGTAGTCTCATGTTCCGGCCTACTTTTTAGAGGTTATTTCAAGAATTTTTAGTTATAAAAAAAAATGCGATCGTTTCAATTTTCACATATGTTTTTATAGGCATTATAAACTATTTGAAAATATTTTGTTTAATTTATTCTTGTGTAGTTAATACACTTTATAGCATGCCAAAGTATGCATATAAAAAAAAAGGTAGGTCCCTGGCGCAGGTGATTTCGACTGCTAGAGTCATCCGAAACAAAAAATTAGAATAGATTATTGTTTTGTAAGCTTATGGCTCTGTCCCGTACTAGAATGAAATATTTTCATCAATAAACAACAAAATGGCGAACACACAAAAAAAAAATTTGTTTTTAATTTAAAAAATTTATCTTAAATTAATGATAAAAAAAAAAACTAATCGTTCAAAATAATTGATTCTAGTACGGGACAGAGGTGTTACTTTTTAGAACAACATATCCAAATTTCAGTTAGATCGGTACCATAGAATTTTGTGAATCACCTGCGCCGCACACAAAAATGTCGTTCCGAGAAAAACGCGTTTAAAGTTTAGACGCTACCAACTCCTACTTTTCGGTGTAGGCGCGCTCTCGATTATGGGCTGTATCTCTGTCATTATTTGATATTTTTATTTGAAACTTTAACAGTACATTCTTAATAAACAATACTATCGAAATATTTGAAAAAAAAAAATTGATTTTTTCAACCTCACACATGAGACTACATCCTTAAATTCTCGAGCTAGCCGTGTTGTGTTTTTCGGTTCTGTTTATTTTTTCTTTGAGGTACGTACAGGGTGCCGACGGCATAACCGGCTGCATAACAAAATAGATTAAAAAATCAATTAATTATAAATTTATGTATTTAAAATTATAACTACGAAAATTTATTTAATTCTTATTTTCCGTTCGAGCAAAGGGCCAGGTTTTTAATTCACCTTTCCGGCCACTCAATAATTAAAGTCGAAGATTTAATTATCGGAAAATTATAATTAATTAATTTAATTATCCACCTTCTGTCCGAATAGAGCCGCGGTTTTTAATTCCATCTTCCCGGCTTCGTGTTAATTAAATTCAATTAATTAAATATTTAGGTTTTAATTCCACCGTTCCAGCTTCGTGATAATTAACCTCAATTGATTAAAAATCAAGATTTTCAACTCCACCCTTCTGGCTCCATCATATTTAAATCCGACAGTTAGCCAAAAATTAATTATTTATATTTTTGTGTGTTAAATTCAAGCCCAAGTTAAGTCCACCTTCCGGCTCCGCAAATGAGCGCTAGGCGGCTTCCATTTCGAACTGTTGCAGATCTCTCAATGTGATGGCGAAGCAGCATGAAAATTCCGCGGCTAATGAATTAGAAAGGGCGGGTACTACCAGACCTTTCCTTCCGGAAAAAGAACAAGTAGGATATCCCCTTAGCAACTGGTTGGCTAAAAAATGGGAATGCTTCGACCTGGTAGCACTTAGGAAATGGAGAAATCTCCAGAACTGGAGGTTCTGTCTCATCCGCTGTACAAAAAGATCCATGTCCTTTCAATTAAGGGAGATAAGCATTTATAAGCATTTTTAAACAAAAAATAAATAGAGAAAAAATTTTAGTAATTGACAAACCTTGTCCTTGGAGGAATTTATTTCAATATTTTCACTTTTTACAGAAACTTTTCCATTTTCAGATACTAATTTTCCTTCATCACGGGATTCTTCAATAGTTTCCTAAATAAAAAATTAGAAAAATTGTGAATTACACTATCAATTAGATTTGATCAACGGAATTAATTCAAGGGTTTATACAGTATTCAGTTCAGTATCAGTAAATGTAATTAAATAACATCAGAACATGTATTCAATAAATTATTGCATGGTCGAAAGCGGAGCCGAAGCTGATATACAATTGCAGTTAAAACCGGATATATATCGCAAGCATCAGATATAGTTGGCCGATCCTTATGAGAATATCGTTATAAAACCAATTAATTACAATAAAATATCTAAAATTTCTAAAATACCAGAGTTGGTATTTCTACCGAATACCATTTCCGATCGTTCAGTGATATGGAAGCGGCCGATCCTTATGAAATTTGGTACGTTGGATCAACTGACCAAAAACAGAATCTGTACTAAGTTTAAACTTTCTATTTTTTTTAGGTGAGGGGCCGTTGAAGAGCTGAAGAGCGCATCCGCGCTGAAGAGCGCACCCGCGCTGAAGAGCGCATCCACACTCGCCCCTCTGTGCCCCTCTCTCTCGCTCGTTGGTTGTCGTCGATCGTCTCTTTTTGTACTAGTTTTTAAGTTGGCGATTCGATGTAAGCAGCCCAACAAAGCTGACCGCGTTATATTCACTGGAAGACGCCCCCGACTTTTATTCAACATTTCTACACCTGGAATCTTTTGCGGCAACCACGCCCCCCTACAAACATTGGTCCTTCGAGACGGATAATTACTGGATTTTCTTCTGCCAGCAGTTCTCGGCATTGTTCCGCCAAAAGATAAGTACATTTTTCCGTCCCCATCTCTCTGCCGGTCTTCAGCAGTGATCCGAACATTAAATTTCGTTCACACTGCTGCAAGATTGTTTTTCCCTCCGTGTCAACTCCAAGTCCGAGTTTTCCGACACAACGGCAGGTTGAGATTTTCTAATAATCTATAATCATCTTAAAATTCGGCAAATTTTTCTATCCGTCTCCGTTTTGTGTGCTGCCCATATTAATCGCCGTTTTCGGCCTCTCCGTTATTCATTCGCTTGCCAACGGTCGAGGCATATGTGCATCCGCATACATACATACGCACATACATATTTTTTTGGTGCAATTAATCCGCGAAAAATTCGCAAGTGAACAGTGAAATTGTGTGGTGACAAAAAGAAGGCATAATTAATATTGGCCACCGGTGTGAATTAGTTCCGGAATTTCCAAATTCACCGAACAGTCCGCCGCTGTCGTAATATTTGTTTTTATCTTCCTCAATCAGTGTCATTTTTTTACACCACATAACTTTTCTGTTCCCCCAATTATACAGTCCACTTATCAAAGCTCCACTGTGCCAACATATGCCCACATGCCCTTACATATATCCGTACCTGCATGCATGTCCATATATTTTCTGCCTTCAATTCCAGGAAATATATAACCGATAAAATTTAACATATACAGTCCACTTATCGAAGCTCTACTGTACCATAATATGCCCCACATGCCCTTGCCCTACTTGCATGCATGTCCATATATTTCCAAATATTTTCTGCCTCCAATTTCAGGAAATATAAAGCCGATAAAATTTAAAAAAAAATTTACATTTTCTAAAACCAACAATTATAAACCGCCATTTCACTACAAATCCGTGATTGTGTCGCTTAAATTCTCGAGCTAGCCGTGTTGTGTTTTTCGGTTCTGTTTATTTTTTCTTTGAGGTACGTACAGGGTGCCGACGGCATAACCGGCTGCATAACAAAATAGATTAAAAAATCAATTAATTATAAATGTATGTATTTAAAATTATAACTACGAAAATTTATTTAATTCTTATTTTCCGTTCGAGCAAAGGGCCAGGTTTTTAATTCACCTTTCCGGCCACTCAATAATTAAAGTCGAAGATTTAATTATCGGAAAATTATAATTAATTAATTTAATTATCCACCTTCTGTCCGAATAGAGCCGCGGTTTTTAATTCCATCTTCCCGGCTTCGTGTTAATTAAATTCAATTAATTAAATATTTAGGTTTTAATTCCACCGTTCCAGCTTCGTGATAATTAACCTCAATTGATTAAAAATTAAGATTTTCAACTCCACCCTTCTGGCTCCATCATATTTAAATCCGACAGTTAGCCAAAAATTAATTATTTATATTTTTGTGTGTTAAATTCAAGCCCAAGTTAAGTCCACCTTCCGGCTCCGCAAATTCGAAAATAGTTAAGAATTTAATATCTCAGTATATATTAAATTCAGTACGAACCACACAAGTCGAAATATACATACATATATAGACCGTCATCATTTTTTTCCGAACAAGCACGAATTTTCCGGTACTTTTTCCATTTTTCGTGCCTCCAACTCTGCTTCTACTCCGCATCAGGGAACATCCGCCTACAATCCGAACAAACCTCGTCTCCTTTTAGGTTTTTTCTGGTGCCTGAAGTTTTTCTTTCCACTTTCGAATTGTGCCGCACACGACTTTCCTCTCCACATCGGCGCCACTAGTTCGCACTTGCTCCTTGTAAGGAGCTTTTACCTTTATAGCCTTTGAGGATTGTAAGGAGCATCCAACTCTTGCTTCAGGAGTTGAAAGCTCGAAGGAACCGATATTTACAATCGAGAGCAAACCCAAGTCGAGCAGAAACCGTCACTTGGCCGTAAGAAGTTAAAATATCAAGACGTAACACTTAAGACCATTGTCCCAATCAATTATATCTATCCATTCGCCATAATAAAGCATTTAAATAAACAAATTTCCTACATGTATGCACATTACTTCTCCTGAATTATTCAATACTTCCAAAATATATACAAGTTAAACAATTAACTCCGTCGGCGATGCTGGCCCGAGCCTCTGCCAGCGCAATCACGCATCTTTAAGTACTTTTATATTTCGGACGTGTCTTAAGTAAGATAATCATAATATTTCTAACAAATAATATTCAATAAATAAAAAAAATTTCTCTAACTGGCGGTTACCTAACATTGTAGCGGAGTGCAAAACCACAATCCTTAAGCTTATTATGCGGGCGATACTAAAAGATCACGGATGGAAGCACGAAAGAATTTCAAGAAGCTCTATTGTAAAAATAAGAAAGTATTATTTCACGTTGATCTAAAGAAAAAACAAGAAAGAAACTATATGTTTTTGATGTATAATGTAATGGAGTTAAAGAAAAGAAGATATTTAAGAAGTTTTTATGATTAAGTTTTGTGACTCGGAAGGAAGAAGACAAAATACCAATTTTTAACGATATTAATTAATTCATTTTAATATCATTAAATACGTGCTGCATTACATAGAATGATTTATTCCTAGAACACTAAAAATTTCTATAATATTTTTTTACGGAGACGAGTTTAAAATGGTAATTTCTCCTTCGAAACTTATTGTGCACATGCGATAGACAGTTCTGTTGTTATAAGAGCAATGGATATCCTTTTCTTTATTTCACTGGGTTCGATAGGGGCTTGTTCGTTTACTTCTTTTCATAACTTCCTTAAAGTATCTATTCAAGTTGGTATGGTAGTGACCATTACCGTTATGATCAAAGCAAAACCATTCGCGCACATTTATATTATTTTTGCGACATACTCGCTTATGAGCGCTAGGCGGCTTCCATTTCGAACTGTTGCAGATCTCTCAATGTGATGGCGAAGCAGCATGAAAATTCCGCGGCTAATGAATTAGAAAGGGCGGGTACTACCAGACCTTTCCTTCCGGAAAAAGAACAAGTAGGCTATCCCCTTAGCAACTGGTTGGCTAAAAAATGGGAATGCTTCGACCTGGTAGCACTTAGGAAATGGAGAAATCTCCAGAACTGGAGGTTCTGTCTCATCCGCTGTAGGAAAAGATCCATGTCCTTTCAATTAAGGGAGATAAGCATTTATAAGCATTTTTAAACAAAAAATAAATAGAGAAAAAATTTTAGTAATTGACAAACCTTGTCCTTGGAGGAATTTATTTCAATATTTTCACTTTTTACAGAAACTTTTCCATTTTCAGATACTAATTTTCCTTCATCACGGGATTCTTCAATAGTTTCCTAAATAAAAAAATTAGAAAAAATTGTGAATTACACTATCAATTAGATTTGATCAACGGAATTAATTCAAGGGTTTATACAGTATTCAGTTCAGTATCAGTAAATGTAATTAAATAACATCAGAACATGTATTCAATAAATTATTGCATGGTCGAAAGCGGAGCCGAAGCTGATATACAATTGCAGTTAAAACCGGATATATATCGCAAGCATCAGATATAGTTGGCCGATCCTTATGAGAATATCGTTATAAAACCAATTAATTACAATAAAATATCTAAAATTTCTAAAATACCAGAGTTGGTATTTCTACCGAATACCATTTCCGATCGTTCAGTGATATGGAAGCGGCCGATCCTTATGAAATTTGGTACGTTGGATCAACTGACCAAAAACAGAATCTGTACTAAGTTTAAACTTTCTATTTGTTTAGGTGAGGGGCCGTTGAAGAGCTGAAGAGCGCATCCGCGCTGAAGAGCGCACCCGCGCTGAAGAGCGCATCCACACTCGCCCCTCTGTGCCCCTCTCTCTCGCTCGTTGGTTGTCGTCGATCGTCTCTTTTTGTACTAGTTTTTAAGTTGGCGATTCGATGTAAGCAGCCCAATAAAGCTGACCGCGTTATATTCACTGGAAGACGCCCCCGACTTTTATTCAACATTTCTACACCTGGAATCTTTTGCGGCAACCACGCCCCCCTACAAACATTGGTCCTTCGAGACGGATAATTACTGGATTTTCTTCTGCCAGCAGTTCTCGGCATTGTTCCGCCAAAAGATAAGTACATTTTTCCGTCCCCATCTCTCTGCCGGTCTTCAGCAGTGATCCGAACATTAAATTTCGTTCACACTGCTGCAAGATTGTTTTTCCCTCCGTGTCAACTCCAAGTCTGAGTTTTCCGACACAACGGCAGGTTGAGATTTTCTAATAATCCATAATCATCTTAAAATTCGGCAAATTTTTCTATCCGTCTCCGTTTTGTGTGCTGCCCATATTAATCGCCGTTTTCGGCCTCTCCGTTATTCATTCGCTTGCCAACGGTCGAGGCATATGTGCATCCGCATACATACATACGCACATACATATTTTTTGGTGCAATTAATCCGCGAAAAATTCGCAAGTGAACAGTGAAATTGTGTGGTGACAAAAAGAAGGCATAATTAATATTGGCCACCGGTGTGAATTAGTTCCGGAATTTCCAAATTCACCGAACAGTCCGCCGCTGTCGTAATATTTGTTTTTATCTTCCTCAATCAGTGTCATTTTTTTACACCACATAACTTTTCTGTTCCCCCAATTATACAGTCCACTTATCAAAGCTCCACTGTGCCAACATATGCCCACATGCCCTTACATATATCCGTACCTGCATGCATGTCCATATATTTTCTGCCTTCAATTCCAGGAAATATATAACCGATAAAATTTAACATATACAGTCCACTTATCGAAGCTCTACTGTACCATAATATGCCCCACATGCCCCACATCAGGAAATATAAAGCCGATAAAATTTAAAAAAAAATTTACATTTTCTAAAACCAACAATTATAAACCGCCATTTCACTACAAATCCGTGATTGTGTCGCTTAAATTCTCGAGCTAGCCGTGTTGTGTTTTTCGGTTCTGTTTATTATACCCTTGCAGAGGGTATTATAATTTTGTCCAAAAGTGTGCAACGCAGTGAAGGAGACATCTCCGACCCTATAAAGTATATATATTCTTGATCAGGATCACCTCCTGAGTTGATATGAGCATGTCCGTCTGTCCGTCTGTCCGTCTGTCCGTCTGTCTGTCTGTCCGTCTGTCTGTTTCTACGCAAACTAGTCTCTCAGTTTTAAAGCTATCGTCTTGAAACTTTGCACACACCCTTCTTTCCTTTGCACGCAGTATATAAGTCGGAACGGCCCGGATCGGCCGACTATATCCTATAGCTGCCATATAACTGATTGATCGGAAATGGTATAACTTTGGTATTTTTAGAGTTAGAGAGTTCAAATTTTAGGTGAGAGCTATTTTTGGCAAAATAATACGACATGCCAAATTTCATAAGGATCGGCCGACTATATCCTATAGCTGTCATATAACTGAACGATCGGAAATGACCCAACTTTCGTGTTTTTGAAGATAGAAAGCTGGAATTTAGTACAGACTCTATTTTTGGTCAGTTGATCCAACCTACCAAATTTCATTAGGATCGGCCGACTATATCCTATAGCTGCCATATAACTGAACGATCGGAAATGGTATTTGGTAGAAATATCAACTTTCGTATTTTTGAAGATAGAAGCTTGGGACTTTTTTTAGATTTTGTATTGTAATAAATTGGAGTATATATTCCTATTCCCATAAGAATCGGACAACTATATCCGATGTTTGCGATATATATCCGGTTTTAACTGCAAGGGTATATAAACTTCGGCTCCGCCCGAAGTTAGCTTTCCTTTCTTGTTTTTTCTTTGAGGTACGTACAGGGTGCCGACGGCATAACCGGCTGCATAACAAAATAGATTAAAAAATCAATTAATTATAAATGTATGTATTTAAAATTATAACTACGAAAATTTATTTAATTCTTATTTGCCGTTCGAGCAAAGGGCCAGGTTTTTAATTCACCTTTCCGGCCACTCAATAATTAAAGTCAAAGATTTAATTATCGGAAAATTATAATTAATTAATTTAATTATCCACCTTCTGTCCGAATAGAGCCGCGGTTTTTAATTCCATCTTCCCGGCTTCGTGTTAATTAAATTCAAATAATTAAATATTTAGGTTTTAATTCCACCGTTCCAGCTTCGTGATAATTAACCTCAATTGATTAAAAATTAAGATTTTCAACTCCACCCTTCTGGCTCCATCATATTTAAATCCGACAGTTAGCCAAAAATTAATTATTTATATTTTTGTGTGTTAAATTCAAGCCCAAGTTAAGTCCACCTTCCGGCTCCGCAAATTCGAAAATAGTTAAGAATTTAATATCTCAGTATATATTAAATTCAGTACGAACCACACAAGTCGAAATATACATACATATATAGACCGTCATCATTTTTTTCCGAACAAGCACGAATTTTCCGGTACTTTTTCCATTTTTCGTGCCTCCAACTCTGCTTCTACTCCGCATCAGGGAACATCCGCCTACAATCCGAACAAACCTCGTCTCCTTTTAGGTTTTTTCTGGTGCCTGAAGTTTTTCTTTCCACTTTCGAATTGTGCCGCACACGACTTTCCTTTCCACATCGGCGCCACTAGTTCGCACTTGCTCCTTGTAAGGAGCTTTTACCTTTATAGCCTTTGAGGATTGTAAGGAGCATCCAACTCTTGCTTCAGGAGTTGAAAGCTCGAAGGAACCGATATTTACAATCGAGAGCAAACCCAAGTCGAGCAGAAACCGTCACTTGGCCGTAAGAAGTTAAAATATCAAGACGTAACACTTAAGACCATTGTCCCAATCAATTATATCTATCCATTCGCCATAATAAAGCATTTAAATAAACAAATTTCCTACATGTATGCACATTACTTCTCCTGAATTATTCAATACTTCCAAAATATATACAAGTTAAACAATTAACTCCGTCGGCGATGCTGGCCCGAGCCTCTGCCAGCGCAATCACGCATCTTTAAGTACTTTTATATTTCGGACGTGTCTTAAGTAAGATAATCATAATATTTCTAACAAATAATATTCAATAAATAAAAAAAATTTCTCTAACTGGCGGTTACCTAACATTGTAGCGGAGTGCAAAACCACAATCCTTAAGCTTATTATGCGGGCGATACTAAAAGATCACGGATGGAAGCACGAAAGAATATCAAGAAGCTCTATTGTAAAAATAAGAAAGTATTATTTCACGTTGATCTAAAGAAAAAACAAGAAAGAAACTATATGTTTTTGATGTATAATGTAATGGAGTTAAAGAAAAGAAGATATTTAAGAAGTTTTTATGATCAAGTTTTGTGACTCGGAAGGAAGAAGACAAAATACCAATTTTTAACGATATTAATTAATTCATTTTAATATCATTAAATACGTGCTGCATTACATAGAATGATTTATTCCTAGAACACTAAAAATTTCTATAATGTTTTTTTACGGAGACGAGTTTAAAATGGTAATTTCTCCTTCGAAACTTATTGTGCACATGCGATAGACAGTTCTGTTGTTATAAGAGCAATGGATATCCTTTTCTTTATTTCACTGGGTTCGATAGGGGCTTGTTCGTTTACTTCTTTTAATAACTTCCTTAAAGTATCTATTCAAGTTGGTATGGTAGTGACCATTACCGTTATGATCAAAGCAAAACCATTCGCGCACATTTATATTATTTTTGCGACATACTCGCTTATGAGCGCTAGGCGACTTCCATTTCGAACTGTTGCAGATCTCTCAATGTGATGGCGAAGCAGCATGAAAATTCCGCGGCTAATGAATTAGAAAGGGCGGGTACTACCAGACCTTTCCTTCCGGAAAAAGAACAAGTAGGCTATCCCCTTAGCAACTGGTTGGCTAAAAAATGGGAATGCTTCGACCTGGTAGCACTTAGGAAATGGAGAAATCTCCAGAACTGGAGGTTCTGTCTCATCCGCTGTAGGAAAAGATCCATGTCCTTTCAATTAAGGGAGATAAGCATTTATAAGCATTTTTAAACAAAAAATAAATAGAGAAAAAATTTTAGTAATTGACAAACCTTGTCCTTGGAGGAATTTATTTCAATATTTTCACTTTTTACAGAAACTTTTCCATTTTCAGATACTAATTTTCCTTCATCACGGGATTCTTCAATAGTTTCCTAAATAAAAAAATTAAAAAAAATTGTGAATTACACTATCAATTAGATTTGATCAACGGAATTAATTCAAGGGATTATACAGTATTCAGTTCAGTACCAGTAAATGTAATTAAGTAACATCAGAACATGTATTCAATAAATTATTGCATGGTCGAAAGCGGAGCCGAAGCTGATATACAATTGCAGTTAAACCCGGATATATATCGCAAACATCAGATATAGTTGGCCGATCCTTATGAGAATATCGTTATAAAACCAATTAATTACAATAAAATATCTAAAATTTCTAAAATACCAGAGTTGGTATTTCTACCGAATACCATATCCGATCGTTCAGTGATATGGAAGCGGTAGGTTATAGTCGGCCGATCCTTATGAAATTTGGTACGTTGGATCAACTGACCAAAAACAGAATCTGTTCTAAGTTGAAACTTTCTATTATTTAAAACAAGAAAGTTGGGTAATTTCCGATCGTTCAGTTATATGGCAGCTATAGGATATAGTCGGCCAATCTGTATGAAATTTGGTAGGTTGAATCAACTGGCCAAAAATAGAATGTTAGTTCCAGCTTTGTATCTTTAAAATTACAAAAGTTTGGTCATATTCGATCGTTCAGTTATATGGCAGATATAAACAAGCTTTTCTTATATTTCTATTTGATTAAGGTTTCAATAACAGTCAGTGAATAAGGCGCCACTTCCCCGAGTAATAACAATAGCATATCCTAGGCGGGAGCGTGCTCTTTGCAATTCGCTCGAAGGGATAAAAGATGTCAAGTAGTTCGGTCCTAATCTAAGTGCTAATCGGAATACTAAGCAAAGATAATATCTATTGCGAGTTGTTCAAACTTTAAAGTCCTCCTGTCTCGGTCGGAGAGTAGACAAGACGGGCGGACCAGAAAAAGAAGAGGCGCCTGAAACGGAGGATATGGCTGAACAATTGTTCAACCGTGGTATAACAATTTTTATAGTATAGTAGTGGTTAGCACGGCCTACGAAGAACAGGACAAAAAGACCATAGGCGAAGTTGAAAAGAAAAACTGTTGTGTTGCTATCTTTAAATATATCCAAGATATAACATGGATATTTAAATACCCAAAGGCCGATAATGGGTCTTACACCTGGTGTTCCTCACGGCAGCTATCTTGAACCCTACTTTTCACACTATACATTAACGATTTTCGCATTGATAACTTAAACCCTTAACTAAGTCACTGGTACTTATGTAAACTAATGACGTTAAGCCTTACCTTCAATTTAAGTTCACTAGTGCTTTATTTAGACTACAATTCGATTTAAATAACTTTCAAAAATGGATTTTTAGAAATTAACTAAAACTTAATGGATCGAAATGCACACTCATGTCTTTTTATCGATCTAGTGCCAACAGGTGAACTCTCTCTAAGGTACTCGAGTTAACCGACTGGGTATCCTATTAGATTTTAATTAGGGTGTACTTCGTTTTTTCTAAAAGATAGTCTAAAGAATTGAAACGTTGCACACATCGTTCTTTCCTTTGCACGAAGTTTATAAGTCGGTGTCGGGTCATGCAGCAACCGCTGTTTTAGTGTAATATTTATTTATTAGGCTTAAGTATGTACAAATTGCTCAGTTGGTCGCAAGCCGACTCTCTCTCGGCCGCTCGACTTCAACGGGCTTTTCTTTAGAGAGTTTAAGCTTCGTAATGTCTAGTCGGGCCGCCCTCTCTGTATATAACCTTAAGTCCCTGAATGCACCATAAGCTGGTCCAGATGAATCCAGCTTCATTGGCATGCAGAATGAACGATTGTATAAAGTTTTAGAATTACATAAATTCGAATTTTTATTTATTGACCGTCATTGAAAAATATCAAGGCCCAAAGAGTCGGAACGGCCGGGATCGACCGACTATATCATATATCTGCCTTATACTGATTGATCGGAAATGCCATAACTTTGTTTACTTTGGTTTTTTTAAACTTAAAGTGTTTGGGGTTCTCTTTGGATTATATTTTTATTAAAATAACGGATCGGCCCACTATATCCTATAACTGAACAATCGAAAATGACACAACTTTCGTGTTTTTGAAGAAAGAATTTCCTACAGATACTATTGTATAGTATCAGAGAATTGGAATTTCCTACAGATACTATGTTTGGTCAGTTGATCCGACCAATCAAATTTCGTCGCGATCGGCCGACTATATCTTATAGCTTTCATATAACTGAACGATCGGAAATGGAAGTGCAGGGCAGGGCCGACTGGGAAGTCCAAAGCTGGGAAGAACAGCTATGCCACATACACACATGAAACGAACGAAACGTAAAATGCACACATCTTTAAAATTGGAGTGTGTGCGTAAGCAGCAAAAAACTATAAGAGCTCTCTCTCAATGAATGCTCTCACTGAGCGAAAAAAACGTAGGTTTTAATTTCGTTAATGAAAAAATTTGAATTGGCCTAAAATGGTGCATTTTATATTAAAGAAAGCTTCTACCAAAAGTTCTTAAGAAGGTCGTATGTAAAATATTCCATGGGATCATTAATCTTGACTACTTTTGATAGAACTGAATCATTAAAATGTGGGATTTGCCTCTGTTGGGTAGCATCAATTAAGGCTGACCAGAAGTAAGAAGCCTACAAACACGTAGTCATATCGAAAGTCCATAGTCCATATCGATAATGAGTAGCCGATTCTAATACATGGGCGCAACAAATGTAATAAATTTGACAAAATACTTAAGAGCATTGTACCGTTATATTATGTCCATCGCCATAATCGATCATTTAAATAAACAAAATTCTTACATTTTTGAAGTCTAAACCGAGATAGATTGGATAGATAGATCGCAGCCAAAAGTTAAGTGAAGGACTTAACGCGCACATGTAAAAAAGTGGCGTGAAAGACAAAATTCGTGAGGTTGTGAGGCAAGCTAAGAATGGTGAACGTCCAAAAACATACAGTGCTGCGGTATAGCTGAAAAGAACAAAGTTCAGCAGTAGCAGTAGGTGGAAAGAGCATATGCTACAAGAAAAGCGGTTAAGATTCTGTAAAAGCGGTCAATCTTTTCGGGTCTTACTTTTTTATGTATGCTGAAAAATTTTGAATATGTGACGAAATAGTGGTTTATTGATGCTGTTTGAGAAATATTAATTATATTTAAGCTAAGTAATATAATTTGATTTAGGAGTGAGTAAATTAAAGTAAAATTTATGATAGTAATGAAAATTCAATTTTGAGTTTGAATCGTTGAAAACTATAATAACAAAGATGAAAAAAATAATACATTTCAAATTATTACATTAAAAATGCTTTTTAATTATTGTAATTAGAAAAGTAAAATTTTATTGAAAGAAATCATTGTAAAGCATGTCAGGGATCTGCACGCAAAATTATCAGAGCTAAATTTGAATATAAATTTGTATGTTCCAATTTTGAGAAACACAAGCTTCTGCCTTCGCAAGGTTAAAGTAAGCCTTAAAAATGACATGTTTTAAAAATGTAAAATCTTGTACAAGATAGTTTGTGATAATTTGTTTCATTCTGTTCAGTAAATCCTGTAGTTGTCGAAACACTATTAAAAGTGTTATTCATCATAGGAGCGATTAAATTTTAAATCGTGACGGATTGCAGTGCGCGATGAAGAGGGATTTTTTTTTCTTAGAGAAGAACAGTGGGCACCATAGAATGCCCGTCAGTAAGGGTATTTCTCAGTGGTAAAGACCCAAGACCTTGTAGAAAAATCGTACTTTATTCCGAAACTCAAGGAAAACGTTGTAAGAATTGTGGAACTAAGAACGGCGTCAGGTTCACTATTTTTTATTATTGGACAGCAGATTTCATAATTGTATCCATATTGTAAAAGACGAGTTTCTAAGTACAAACTTAGGCAGCGAATTTCGGCAATGCTTATCCCTCAGATAGAGGCACCGCTTTTACCTTTATAGCCTTTGAGGATTGTTGGGAGCATCAAACTCTTGCTTCAGGAGTTGAAAGCTCGAAGGAACCGATATTTACAATCGAGAGCAAACCCAAGTCGAGCAGAAACCGTCAAAAAAAATTTTTTTTTTCAAAAACTTGGTTAAAATGTGCATTTAATTTTTCCTTACTATTTAAATGTTTGGTCTTGAAAAAGAAGTTCATTTAATTGTAAAATTTATTTTTACAAAAACCTTTCGTTTGCTTCAATGAATCTTAAGTAAAAGTTTTTAAATGTAGAACGTTTTTTAAACTTTAACGTTAATGTAACATGTCTTTTATCATTTTTTTCCTATTACAAAGTGCGAAAAAAAAATTGGAGGAAGTTTTGATATGTGATATTTCTAAACTAAAAATTTCGATAATATATTTGTTTGTTTTGGAAAAAGCGTTATAACTTGAACAATTTGTATAATTTTGTAATGAAATTGGTCTCCTTTTATTCAGGATTAATGAGACAATAGTGATATATTGATTTTTTTTCAAAAGCTCAACATTTAGCTATTGAAAAACCTCGGAAGTTTTAAAATCGGAGTAAAATTACGCGTTTAGAAATTTTTAAGAGCAATAATGTCCCGAAGACCCGTTTTTTCTAAATAAATCAAGATTTGGAGGGTGTTCGAATTATTTCAAACACGGTTTTTTACTATATTCGACCTAGTAAACAATTCCTACTAGGCCTCTTCAAAAGTTCCAAATTACTATCACGCTTTGTTATAGGACTTAACTGTTGAAACTTGGTTAAGAAACAACATAAGAAACTCTTAAAAAGCTACACAATTTCGTGAGTTTTTTCTATTCTATTCGGCGTCTTCGATAATATTGGATTTTTATACCCTTGCAGAGGGTATTATAATTTTGGTCAAAAGTGTGCAACGCAGTGAAGGAGACATCTTCGTCCCTATAAAGTATATATATTTTTGATCAGGATCACCTCCTGAGTTGATATGAGCACGTCCGTCTGTCTGTCTGTCTGTTTCTATGCGAACTAGTGTCTCAGTTTTAAGGGTATCGACTTGAAACTTTGCACACACCCTTCTTTC